GGAATTGTGGTTCCTTCATGGCTTATGGACTTCAACTCCCAGAATTCCTCAGTCATCATCCATCTCAATTAATTTAGAGTGCTTACAAGGGACATAATTTGTACTAGCTGGTGGAAGAGATGTTCCACTTCGTTGTCCTTGTGCACACCCTGTAGCAACTTTTAGCCCAGTATATCTATCTGGAGGGGGAATCAGTATATATGTTTAGAAGTTACTCCACTTACTTAACAAGGAGATCCTACAGGTAGTCCTCAACTTACGACAGGTTGCTTAGCAACTTATTCAGAGTCAGGACGTTTCCCCCTGAATTGGTCATGGCCGCCCAGTTCCACAGTTTTGAGGGTCTCCTCTTGTAGTCACACAAGTGCATTTTGGGAACTTGGCAACCACCTTACTAACATAGTCTTTTCTCTTAGAGAATAGCAAAGAACTCATGGAACAAAGAGTATTTGTTGCGTAGAGTTGAGATGGGGGTCCTTGGTGCTCTCTGGGCCACTGACTACCACTGATGATGCTGCCTAGTTGGGTAATGAAACGTCTGCAAGAGAAGAATGAAGCTCAGAGAGCATCAAGGAGCCCACAGCCTCCTCCCCCCCCCCAAAAAACCCCTCCATACCCTTCTAGCACTGATGGTGTTACCTCACTGGGTGACGAAACGTCTGCAAGAAAATCCTTCAAACCGTGCCCTTTTCTAGGCTAAACACACCACCACAGCTTCTCAGGTGGATTGAATCCTCTTGCCTGTCCTTCCTCCTCCTAGATCGATCCAGTCCTCGGCACGGTTGGCTTCGGCTCCGGCCTGCATGGCTGGGCTTTCACCTTGAAGCAGTTTGCCGAAATGTACGTGGCCAAGTTCGCGGCCAAAGGCGAAGGGCAGCTGAACCCCGCCGACCGTTCCAAAAAGGTGGAAGACATGATGAAGAAGCTCTGGGGAGACAGGTGAGTCATTTGAGGAGGGCGCAAGGATTCAGGATCGCCACCTAAGCATGTTGAACCGGCTGCGTTCATGCCAAAGACAAGCACGCAGATCACAGATAAAATCAAGAGTTGGAAGGGACCTTATAGGTCATCTAGTCAAACCCTCTACTCAGACAGGAGACCCTACACCATTTCTGACAAATGGCAGTCCAGTCTCTTCTTGTTAAATTATTACATTGAAGTTTAACTAAAGAGTAGTAAAACCAACCAGTAAATGACAGAATGGCAGAGTTGGAAGGGATCCTGGAGGTCTTCTAGCCCAACCCCCTGCCTAGGCAGTAAACCCTACACCACTTCAGACAAATGGTTGTCCAGTCTCCTCTTTAAAACGTTCAGTGTTGGAACATTTAGGCAAATGGTTCCACTGGTTAAATGGAGGCAAATGGTTCCACTGGTTAATTGTTCTAACTGCCAGGAAATTTATTCTTATTTCCACGCTGCTTCTCTCTTTGATCTGTCTAGTTTCCATCCATGTGTGTGTGTTTTGTTTTATTTTTATGGTTTTCTTAGGCATAACGTACACTGAAGACGGCATTTAATTTCATTTGTACGAGGTGCCAGTGGCAACATGGAATAAAACCTGAAATCTTAACCCAGGTTTTGCCACTCGTCCTCCTTTAAGGAGCTGACTTAAAATGGGGCAGTCTTGACAAAACATAAGCCTTCCTTTTATTTTTATTTTTATTTTTATTTTTTCCTTTCTCTCCTTTCCCCCCCCCAGGTATTTCGACCCTGCGACTGGCAAGTTCAGCAAGTCTGCAACCAACCCCGATGGAAAGAAGCTACCAAGGACTTTCTGCCAGCTGATCCTAGACCCCATCTTCAAGGTAGAGGCCACCCCCCTCCCTCCCTCCCATGGTTTCCTTGGCCAGCCCCAAACTACGCCCACTAAAAGGCGCTCGAGGGCCCCTGCCTCTACTTGCCTGTGCGTGATGACGAAACAATTTCTTCACTTTGACCTGACGGTTTTCTTTTGTTTGAAGAAATTTTGCAATATCTGACACACGAAGTAGAACGAGTCTAGAAAGTTATCCAGGGGGTGTGTGAGTTTGTGTATGTATGTGTGTGTGTCTCTCTCTGGGCTGAATTGAGCTCTTTGGACTCCCAAGGTTGGGGGGCTGGGGTCCTTGTAGTTAATCTCTTTTTAAAAAAATTAATTTATTTAACTCAGCTGAGGCACTGCTTCTCTGCAAAACAGCCGCTGGTTGCTCCAGGCCAGGAGTTTTCAAACTTAACAGCTTTAAGACTTGTGGACTTCAGCTCCCAGAATTCCTCCTCCAGTCAGTGTTAGCTCAGGAATTCTGGGAGTTGAAGTCCAAAAGTCTTAAAATGGCCGACGTTGAAGGGTCTTCAAACTTGACAGCTTTAATTTAAGACTTGTAGACTTCAACTCCCAGAATTCCTCCTCCAGCCATGCTAGCTTGGGAATTCTGGGAGTTGAAGTCCACAAAAGTCTTAAACTTGCCAAGTTTGAAAACCCTTGGACTAGTCTCTTCAGCCCAAAGATTTTCTCGTAGGTCCCAGAGGACGCGTGTGTGTGTGTGTGTGTGTAAGTGGTCCTCACTTAACGACTGGTAACTTTGCAAATGTCTGAGCTCTAATTAGCAATAGCTCTTAGACTTATATACCGCTTCACAGTGGTTTTACAAGCCCTCCCTAAGTGGTATACAGAGTCAGCCTCTTGCCCCCAACAATCCGGGTCCTCGTTTTACCGACCTCGGAAGGACGGAAGGCTGAGTCAACCTTTAGGATCCAGTTCCAGAATTGTAGCAGCTGTACATGCGAACACACACACACACACTGGTGGTTGTGCGATCGCATTTGGCTGCTTGGCAACCAGCTCACATTGAAGACCATTTGCAATTATCCTGCAGTCACATGACCACAATTTTGGGGTGTTTTGCCAGTTTCTGGCGTATCGTCTTCCAGCCCCCAAAATACACCCGTTGAAGAAAATGACCTGGCAGTCACTTAATGACTACTGCGGAAGTCATAAAATTGGGACTGGTGACCTGTTCCGTTACTGCCATGACTTATCCCCATAATTGTGGGCTCACAGTCGTAAGGGAATGGAGCTGGCAAAGAGAGAGAGAGAGACGGAGCCTTGGGCCGTCCATCAGCTCTCAGATGGAGAATCAACAGCCCTCAGGTCTGGAGGTGGCTGATGAGGAAGAGGAGGAACAGCCGGGTCCAGTGCCTGACGTGCGGCTGCTGCGCAGAAGGCAGAGAGGAGAGGAGAGGAGAGAGCAGTGGAAATCTATGGGCCGGTCCTTGGGAAGCAAGGACCACCACTGCTATTGAGTTAGCTTCAGAGGGTTTGTCAAGCTGGGTGAGAACAGCTTCCCCACAGGCTGTGTCCCGCTAGCGGGCCAAGGACCCGGGGGTGGTGGGTGGGGGGGGTTGGGGACCACCCTGACTTAGAAGAAGCGAGACTTGCCAGCGGATCACCCCCTCGCTTGCTTGTTCGCTCGCTGTCCCTGCTGGGAGTTTTTTTTTTAATCTTTCCCGTCGCGCGGCCTTCGTCTCCCAAAGGTATTCGATGCAATCATGAACTTCAAGAAGGAAGAAACAGCCAAACTGATCGAGAAGCTGGACATCAAGCTGGACAGCGAGGACAAAGGGAAGGAAGGCAAGCCTCTGCTGAAGGTGAGGCGGCGTGGTTTCGGGGAGAGGTAGGCAAGGGGGGGCCGTGAAAAGAGCAAGCTTTTTAAAGAGCCTGAAAGAAATCTGTTCCTCGGTTTGAAAGGAAAACGCGCAAGGAGGACCCGGAGGGGATTTAATGAGATGTAGAATTATTATTTTTTTTTAGAATAGGACAAAGCTGTAAGGGACCTTGGAGGTCTTCTAGTCCAACCTCCCTGCTCAAGCAGGAGACCCTGAACAGGACAAGGTTGGGGGGGGTTTGCCACCCTTGGTTCCTCCCTCTCCTTCTAGAAAGAATTCCTCCTCCACCTTCTCTGCACGTCACCCCTCTGACTGAAAAAAAAAAAAGACATTCCTTCACAAACAGCTTCAGCCAAAAGTAAGGCCTCACCTAGAGTCCTGCATCCAGTTTCGGTCACCACACTATAAAAAAAGATGTTGAGAGTCTAGAAAAAGTGCAGAGAAGAGCAACCAGGAGGAGGATGAGGGGGCTGGAGGCTAAAACGTGAACCCTGGGCCCTACCTAACAAAATGAAATTCAGTGGAGAGAAATAATATAGGAATTGGGCCCATTCAAAGGAAGGAAACACACAAACACACTCACACGCAGGAATTGGACCTTCCCAAAATAAGGAAAACCACCCACATAGAGAAATTGGGCCTATCCAAGAAGATCTATCTATCTGTGTGGTTCCTAAGAGTGCAGACTGACTACATGGCCCATAATCAAAAGCTGCAGAAAAATCCAACTCTTTGAGAAGATGGATCTTGACAGATTCGAACACTGGGCCGTATTTAACAAATGAAATTCAGTGGAGAGACAAGGAAAATCCTACACTTAGGCAAGAAAAACCCAAAGGACACATATAGACTGTGTGAAACCAGGCTCAATAGCAGGAACTGGGAGGGGGATCTTGGAGTCTTAGTGGACAACCAGCTAAATAGGAGCCAGCAACGTTCAGCAGCCGCCAAAAAAAGCCAATGCAATCCTAAGTTGTATTAACAAAGGGATGCAATCGAGATCAAGGGAGGGACTAATACCACTCTATAAATCCTTAGTAAGGCCACAGCTAGAGTCCTGCATCCAGTTTTGGTCACCACATTATAAAAAAGATGTTGAGACTCTAGAAAAAAAAAGTGCAGAGAAGAGCAACCAGGATGATTAGGGGACTGGAGGCTAAAACATACAATGAATGGTTGCAGGAAGTGGGCCTGGCTAGTCTAGGGAAGAGAAGGACCAGGGGAGACAGGATAGCAGTCTTCCAATATTTGAGGGGCTGCCACAGAGAGGAAGGGTTGTCAAGATATTTTCCAAAGCACCCAAAGGCCAAACAAGGAATAATGGATGGAAACTGATCAAGGAGAGATTCAACCTGGAAATAAGGAGGAATTTCCTGACAAGGGAGAACAATCAATGGCACAGAAGTTGCCTTCAGAAGTTGTGGGAGCTTCATCCCTGGAGGCTTTCAAGAAGAGACTGGACTGCCATTTGTCAGAAATGGCGCAGGGTCTCCTGCTTGGGTGGGGTGTGTGGACTAGATGACCTACAAGGTCCCTTCCAACTCTGATTCTCTGTTAAATTTAGGAACTGAGCAAAACAAGGGAGGGGCTTGAAGAAGCCATCCTGATGTAGGCAGCTGGTGGGGCAGGACCTTTTTCTTTTTTTCTTCATAACTTTGGGCTCCATGGTTTCTCCTGGTAGGCTGTGATGAGACGCTGGCTCCCTGCAGGAGAAGCTTTGCTACAAATGATCACCATCCATCTGCCTTCTCCGGTCACGGCTCAGAAATACCGCTGTGAGCTGCTCTATGAAGGCCCCCCCGATGATGAGGCTGCCATGGGTAAGGGGTCCTTCTCCCCATCCTCTCACTTCCCCTCCCATTCCTTTCCCCCCCACCCGCAAAGAGAAGTTCTCCAGAGGAGCACCGACCATGTCTTCTCTCTCTCTCTCTCCCTTCTCTAGGCATTAAGAATTGTGACCCAAAAGGACCCCTGATGATGTACATCTCCAAGATGGTGCCCACCTCTGACAAGGGCCGTTTCTACGCCTTCGGTCGGGTGTTCTCGGGAGTTGTGTCCACTGGACTCAAATGCAGGATCATGGGACCAAACTACACGCCAGGAAAGAAAGAGGATCTCTACCTGAAGCCAATCCAGAGGTCAGTCCGGGGATGGGGATAGGGTGCCGGCGGTGTGGGGAGAAATGGACTTTTTTTCTTCCTTTCCTTGCTTCTCTGTGAAATCTGCATACCCTTGGGGGTTAGGAGTTTGGCCTAATGGTTAAGGCAGTAAGTTCTAGCTCCGCCTTAGGCATGAAAGTTGGCTGGGTGACTTTGGGCCAATCACCAGGAGATGGGTGAGCTCTCGTCCTGCCTTGGGCATATAAGCCAGCTGGATGACTTTGAGCCAATCACCAGGAAACTGGGAGTTCTAGTCCCGCCTTAGGCATGAAAGCCAGCTAAGTGACTTTGAGCCAATCACCAGGAAACTGGGAGTTCTAGTCCCGCCCTAGGCATGAAAGCCAGCTGGGTCATTCTGAGCCAAGCACCAGGAGATTGGAAGTTCTAGTCCCACCTTAGGCATGAAAGTGACTGGGCCAATCACCGGGAGACTGGGAGTTCTAGTCCTGCCTTGGGCATGTAAGCCAACTGGATGACTCTGAGCCAAGCACCAGGAAACTGGGAGTTCTAGTCCCACCTTAGGCATGAAAGCCAGCTAAGTGACTTTGGGCCAATCGCTAGGAGACTGGGAGTTCTAGTCCCGCCTTAGGCATGTAAGCCAGCTGGGTGACTCTGAGCCAAGCACCAGGAGATTGGAAGTTCTAGTCCCGCCTTAGGCATGAAAGTGACTTTGGGCCAACCACCAGGAGACTGGGAATTCTAGTCCTGCCTTGGCCATGTAAGCCAACTGGATGACTCTGAGCCAAGCACCAGGAGGTGGGGAATTCTAGTCCCACTTTAGGCATGAAAGCTAGTTGAGTGACTTTGGGCCAATCAATGGGAGATGGGGAGTTCTAGTCCCGCCTTAGGCATGAAAGCTGCCTGGGTGACTTTGGTCCAATCACCGGGAGACAATGAGTTCTAGTCCCACATTAGTCATGAAAGCTGGCTGGGTGGCTTTGCACCAATTTCTCGGCTCATCCCACCTCACACCATTATGGGAAAAAGAGAAAGAAACCAATTGCACATTGTAAAAATGGAATTGGTCAGTATTTAGAAATAGGAGGAAACTATAATCTCAGAAAACCCCCAACTTTTTGCCTCTTCTAGCAGAAACTGCTGGTCCTAAGCTTACCCAGCGATGGCCAAGGGTGCCAGGAAACTACCATTCCATGAGGGCTCTCTTCTCCAGCACCTGGGCTGTTACTCACCCTGTCTCTTCTGCCCTTCCCTCCCTCCTTCCAGAACCATCCTCATGATGGGCCGCTACGTGGAGCCCATTGAAGATGTGCCTTGCGGTAACATCGTAGGCCTGGTTGGCGTCGACCAGTTCCTGGTCAAGACGGGCACCATCACCACCTTTGAACACGCCCACAATATGCGCGTCATGAAGTTCAGCGTCAGCCCCGTCGTGCGTGTGGCGGTGGAGGCCAAGAACCCAGCCGACCTGCCCAAACTGGTCGAGGGCTTGAAGAGGTTGGCTAAGTCTGACCCCATGGTGCAGGTGAGGTGTGGGGGGGGTGGGTGGATCCACCTGGAGATGAGTTACAACATCTTAGTATGGACATCTTTGAACCAAGCGAGTTTGCTCAATTAGTGCTCGAAATAACAATCAGAGAATAGAATAAGAGAAGAGAGAATAGAATATACTGTAGAACAGAATAGAAGAGAATAGAGAATAGAGTAAAATAAGAGAAGAGAGAATAGAATATACTGTAGAATGGAATAGAATAGAATAGAGAATAGAGTAAAATAAGAGAAGAGAGAATAGAATATATTGTAGAATGGAATAGAATAGAATAGAGAATAGAATATACTGTAAAATGGAATAGAAGAGAATAGAGAATAGAGTAAAATAAGAGAAGAGAGAATAGAATATATTGTAGAATAGAATAGAGTAAAATAAGAGAATAGAATATATTGTAAAATGGAATAGAAGAGAATAGAGTAAAATAAGAGAGAATAGAATATACTGTAGAATGGAATAGAATAGAATAGAGAATAGAGTAAAATAAGAGAAGAGAGAATAGAATATATTGTAGAATGGAATAGAGAGAATAGAATAGAATAAGAGAATGGAATAGAATAGGGAATAAGGAATAAGAAAAGAGAGAATAGAATATACTATAGAATAACTATTGTCACTGAATGTGAAAATTACTAATGGGCATACATTAAAATGAAATTTCCGTTGCATTCAGCTCTCAAAGGGTCACCACCTTTAATATACTCTACATAAACATTAAATAAATAAATACAAAATTATGCATATACCCACACATACGACACAGTGAAACAACACAGTCTAGTTTAAATGTATACATGTACCTAGTGAGAAAAACGAATGTTGCGAGTTTAGCAGACGGATGTCATGGGAACGTGCTGCTCCAGAATCTGTGTTCCTGCTAGGAATATTTCAAAACCTCCTCCCAGACGGAAGCAACAGGAACAGAGTCCGTGAAGTGGGTTGGGTGTGTGGGGTCTCTAACCATGCTTCAAGCTCTAAGCGCAAAGTGCTTATAAGAAATATCCCGAATAACGGGAAACAAGCTTCCTATCATCTTGGTTGTCCCTATCACTCTCTGTAGGGACTTTCTATCTGAGGCGCTGCTGCCACCAAACCAAGCACTCTCGGCCTCTGTAAAAAGTGGCCAGGACGGAAGGAGAAAGATGTGCTCTCCTCATCTGACTCAGGAAATGCAAACGCTGGTTTGCACGCTTCACTAAGGATGAAAATGTGGAGAGAGACCCAAGTCAGATTGTTATCTGCACCCCCAGTTACTTCATACTGCATCCTTGATAACTGAGTGGAGTATGACTACGTCAGCTCTTTCTAAAATCTACAATGCAAGAAGGAATTTAAGATCAACAGCCTGCTTCCCTCATCCTGGTCTAGTCTAGTGACCTGGAAGTGAGGGACTTGTGTTGGGAAGGGTATTGATGCATCTCAATTTTCTGTCCCCCTTTTCCTGATTTGTTAGTGTATCATTGAGGAATCTGGAGAGCACATCATAGCCGGAGCCGGAGAACTGCATTTGGAGATCTGCCTGAAGGATCTGGAGGAGGATCACGCCTGCATTCCCATCAAGGTAACGATTTGCGTCCGGTCTCGTTACGAAATTGATAACCAATTGTGATAAAAATCAACCATTCAGGTATTCATACAACTGAATACTGGAACAATATATAACTGCTTTATTATGAAATTTTTGCAGAAGGGAATTCTGTCTGTGGACAGAAAACATTTTCCCCTCAGGAGGGCTGGGGTTTATATACAGGTTCAAATATACAGTCTCTGCCTCTTTCCTGGGTTCACAATCTATCCAAGCTACATATCTCCCTATGCAACACCCCTGTTACTGTTAGCATAACATCTGTTTCCTTGTCTTGTTTACCCGTTCCCATTTCCAGTAATCTCCATCACGAACAGGACACTGGTCAGCGTAACCTGCTAAATATGTAATCTTTATACAAAACAGTAGAGAATTCTGACATAACATTCCAGTAAATTATCTTAGGTTAACACAGAGGTTAAAAATGGCATTCCCATTGCTTTATATTTTCACAGGTATGATTTTACATATAACATCAATAGAGGATGAGAATAATTATAGCTCAAGGGTCCTTTGGTGCTCTCTGAGCTTGATGGTTTCCTTGCAAACATTTCATGACCCAACTAGGTAACATTATCAGTGCTAGAAGGCAGTGGGGTTTGTTAGGCTATTTATATTCAGGTGGCTTGCCCTCTTAGTGTGGGTGGGAGTATTCTTTGGGGGCTGGTGGGTTTCCTTGATTAGACTGTTGTTTCCTGTTTGTTTCACAATTCCTTGATTGGGGTATTGTTTGCATCTTGATTGTTAATCTTGGCGTTAAATCTCTGCTCATCTGCGTTGGCTTGCTGGCGAAGTAGTGGTTTGGGGCTTTCCTATTTCCTTTTTATTGTCTCTGTTGAATGATAGGTAGATCTTGTTTGTGTCTCTTCTGCCATTAGTTTATTCAGCTGCCCATCGTACGAACGTGACTCTTGAGTGTTTTGTTAATATTAGCAAAGAATTTTTTTTAAAAAAACATGGCACCTCTTCTATCGAAGTCTTTAGCACTAGATCAAAAGGCCAGTGGGGTTGAAAGCAACGTGATCTTAGGGTTGTGGTGTGCCAGAGGGCAGATGCTGGAACCAAAGACACATTCCCCAGGTCCCATAAGATGGACACTCTTTAATTGATAGGACTTAAAGTATGTCTCTCCTATTGTCGGCATATTCCGAGTAACTCATCCGAAGAAATCTGAACTCCCAAGGCAGGCATGTCCCTCAGAGAACATGTTTATTGGACACGTCAATAAACGTCAGCGTTCCAATGAAACTCCCCATTTCCATTCAGCAGTCAGAAACAAAGTCCATCCAAGTAAGAATTTTATTAGAGAAGTCATATTTTCACATCTGGGAAAACTTGAACCTGAGACTTCTGGGTTTTCCCTTCCCAAAAGAGAAATCAAAGATCCCTCCCCTGCACCCACAAGTCCCATCACATGGCCCAATCAAATCTTTGTCCCAACTGGAGACCTTCCTCCAGACAATCTTTCCCAGGTGCAGGGTGACTTGTCCTTGACCTTATGAGGAAAATGTTGTGGAGTCAACTCTCTACCACTCTATGCAATTCCCCCCTCCCAAATTCCCAGGCACTAAAATGTGTGGCAGCTTTGAGCTTCTAGTAAAATATGGCTTCCAAAGCTGACAATGTCGGGCACAGCTAGGGAAAAACCAAGGTTTCTGTATCATTAAAAGAATAAAACTTTCCCTCTCCAGGTGTCACAGGTCACATTGTCCAATCAAAGCAGTTGGCGGGCTCCTTTGTCACTCCTTCTCTATCCGCTGCCGTCTGTTGGGATGACCTTGGTTCCCACGGGAGAGCACTTTGTTACGTCTGCACGTCAGCTCTTTTCTCCCTTCCCAAACTGTGTGGCAACTATGAAGCAGCAAAGATGGCTTCAGCCAGGCTCGGTTCAGAGTTGACACCTGTTGGACATCGAGAGACAGATAGAAACAGCTGGGGAATGAGCCTCAAGGTGGTTACTGGCAGTGGTGGGATTCTAAATTGCACGCTACCGGTTCTGTGGGCCTAACATGCGGGCTGCACTCTTAAGATCAGTTCCCACGTGCATGCAGCGGAACACAGATCGCTTTGCGCGCACGCACAGAATAACCCTCCGTGAGGTGAGCTGTTTTTTTTAGCTCAGCTGAGGCGCAGCACTCTGTTCTGCCGTGCGAATCCGCTGAGCTAAAAACATCAATGGAATATAGGACAGGAAAGCACGGGGCCAGTCAGAGGTGATATTTGCCAGTTTTCCAGACTGGTCCCGCAACCTTAAACGCTCTAAAAGAGCCATTTGGACCCGTTTTCCCACAGAAAACACCGGGAAAGCCAATAATTTTAACAACCGATGTGATCGGGTGGGCATGGCCAACTCGGCGTTACTCCCTCCCACCCAGTCACCTCCTGTTGTGGAATATGGAGTGAGTCTCCATCCCCCACCCTCAGGCCAGGCGAGTAGTGATGGGGATGGGATGGGGCCAGCCAGTGGTGGGATCAGCCAATAGGGAGCCGCAGCAGAGGGCCGAAAGAGCCGCACGTGGCTCCAGAGCCGCAGGTTGCAGATCCCTGTCTGAACTGATCAAATTTTCCGCTACCAGTACGCCGCAACCGGTCTGAACCGGCTGAATACCACTTCTGCTTGCTGGGTATTGCAAACAAGATACTCCTTTCAAAATGTCTGTTCTCTCACGTGTCGACTAAAAAAATTACCACTTTGGTCTTTTTAGTTGTCAGCAGAAAGGGAGTGGGAAAAAATAGTGCATTCCTTAAATGTTTCAGATAATTACTAGGCCGGTGAAGTTGCTGGCGTACAAGTTTATTACTGGAGAGCGTGATTGATGACTCTTGGCTATGGATGCATCCCATTGGAGAATATACATCCAGGGGATGGGGGGAAGACCAGGGTCAAGGGGGAAATGAATGATGTATCTCAAGAGTCGGTTGCCCCCAGGTCACGCCGACATGGTCACTCCTAATAAATCAATTTTTTTTTTAGTCTATGCGGCTAGAGACCTACGATTTGAATGGGGGTGGTTTGTCGGAGCCCTGACACCATGCTTTGATTGTTCTTGGCAGAAATCCGATCCAGTCGTGTCTTACCGGGAGACTGTTAGTGAGGAGTCGGGAACGTTGTGCCTTTCCAAATCGCCCAACAAACACAACCGCCTGTACATGAAAGCCCGCCCCTTCCCAGATGGCCTGGCCGAAGACATCGACAAGGGGGATGTCTCAGCCCGCCAGGAGCTGAAGCAGCGGGCCAGGTACCTGGCCGAGAAATACGAGTGGGACGTGGCTGAAGCCCGTAAGATCTGGTGCTTCGGCCCCGACGGCACCGGTCCCAACATCCTGACCGATATCACCAAGGGAGTGCAGTACCTCAACGAGATCAAGGACAGCGTGGTGGCCGGCTTCCAATGGGCCACAAAGGAGGTGAGTCCGGCCCTGGTAGCTGAGCCGTAAGAGGAGTGTCAGGCCTGCCTCCGCTTGAACCTCTACGAAAGAAAGATCCTTAACTCCGTTTGTTGAGAAAGGTATACTTTACTAGAAGTTAAGTGGAATACAGTAACGCACTTGCCTTCTAGTAAACTACACCTTTCGCAACAAATGGAGTTAAGGATCTTTCTTACTTACAGATTTCAAACTGAGGCAGATCTGACATTGAGCCAGGTTGCTCCTTCAACATTATTTATCGTATGGCACATTCACATCACATTTTGATAACACAAGAGATTGTGTGTGTGTGTGTGTGTGTGTGTGTGTGTGTGTGTATTCATTCATTCTGAGGTTCTCGCGGGTATTAGTATGTGGATCTTTGGTTATTCGGGTTTTCTCCCACGTAAGATTGGAAGTATCTAGGCAACGTTTCGATGAAGTCTCATTCATCATCTTCAGGGCTTGTGTCTTCGGCTCTGTGCTTCTCAGAGTGAACTGTGAATGGCATAAGGGAGAAATGTGAATGGCGTGGTCTGCGGAGGGAGGAAGGGGCCCTGATCCCCTTCATGGGCTGCAGCTGGGAGGACTGGTTAAAAGGACAAACTTCAGGGCAAAAGTGCTGGAGGAAGCAAAATGTGCAGCATTCTTGTCGTAGCTTCTCTGGGTTTTGGCTTCCTCCCAACTGTGGTTGCTTCTGATACCTGGTAGAAGTCTGCAATTAATCAACCTTGCCTGCCGTAGTCATTCCTTCAGTGTGGTGTGTGTTGGGTTTTTTATTTTGAATTAACATTACTTTTGGTGCGGACTGCGTTACTTCCTCCGTAGTCTGTTTTCTCATAAGAGTTTGATATCCAGCCGAGGATAATTGAACATTGGGGCCAAGTTGGAGGCATTAAAGGGAATTGATTCTATTTTTGTGATTTGGTTATTTTTGTGACACACCCCCGGGTCATCACAACACCCCTCTTTTGTTCTCCTCAGGGGGCCCTCTGCGAGGAGAACCTGCGTGGGGTCCGCTTTGACGTGCACGACGTCACCCTGCACGCCGACGCCATCCACCGTGGGGGCGGCCAGATCATCCCCACAGCCCGGCGATGCCTCTACGCCTGCATGCTGACCGCTCAGCCCCGCCTCATGGAGCCAATCTATCTGGTGGAGATCCAGGTAGGTGTGGAGGGAGGAGACTGGGTGAGTTAGGAACGGCCCCGAAAGCTTCTGCCCAGTTTCACCAGAGACCCTGTTTGCTTTCTCCCAGTGCCCTGAACAAGTTGTGGGTGGCATTTATGGCGTCCTGAACAGGAAACGAGGCCACGTCTTTGAAGAGTCCCAGGTGGCTGGCACCCCCATGTTCGTGGTCAAGGCTTACCTGCCTGTGAACGAATCTTTTGGTAAGCATAAACCTTCTAGGCTCGAAATGTCAACTGTCCCAACTCGGTCAGTTAGAAAAGAAAGGACCCCCCTGGCCTGGGATTAGCCAAAAAGTATACTTTACTAAAGCCCAAGGGGCTTACACAAGAGGCAAAGCTAGATCTGAAATTTGCAGGCGCAAAAGATCCAATTAACTTCCCCTGGTTATCAGGTCCTTGTGGGCTCCATATTCGTTTTTGTGTGACCTTGAGATGGCTGGTCCTTCTCACGGGAGAAGCTACTTGGTTTTGATTCCTGAGTTCCCTTCCCCCATTACTGATGTCAGGCTATCAGCTTAGAATACAGTAGAATAACAGAGCTGGAAGGGACTTTTAGGTCATCTAGTCATACCCAAGCAGGAGACCCTACACCATTTCTGACAAGATGGCAGGCCAGTCCCTTCTTGAAAGCTTCCAGTGATGAAGCTCCCACAACTCCCGAAGGCAACTTCTATTCCGTGCGTTGATTGTTCTCCCTGTCAGAAAATTCCTCCTTATTTCCAGGTTGAATCTCTCTCCTTGTTCAGTTTCCATCCATTATTCCTTGTCTGGCCTCTGGGTGCCTTGGAAAATAGCTTGACCCCTTCCCTCCTCTCTGTAGCAGCCCTTCAAATACTGGAAGGCTGCTCTCCTGTCTCCCCTGGTCCTTCTCTTCCCTAGACTAGCCAGGCCCAGTTCCTGCAACTGTTCATTGTATGTTTTAGTCCCCTCATCATCCTGATTGCTCTTCTCAGCGCTTTTTCTAGAGTCTCACCCTCTTTTTTTATAGTGTGGTGACCAAAACTGGATGCAGGACTCTAGGTGTGGTCTTTCTAAGGCTTTATAGAGTACCTCACTTGGTCATGATTGCATCCCTCTGTTAATGCAACTTAGGATTGCGTTGGCTTTTTATGTCACTGCTGCACCTGGCTGGCTCACATTTAATTGGTTGTTCACTAAGACCCTTCTCTCAGCCACTGCTATTATACATATATATATATAGCTTGCGATGCATAGCTTAGCAGAATGGCAGCTATGACAGGAGTCACTTCTCCTGTCCTTTTTAGCTTCATCACTGGAAGCTTTCAAGAAGGGACTGGCTTGCCATCTGTCAGAAATGGTGTAGGGTATGACTAGATGACCTACAAATATAGATAGTTCTCAACTTACAACCAGCATTCCCCTGGTCCACGTAATCAAAATTTGGGCACTTGGCACGTATTTGTGATAGTTGCCATGTCCCGCAGTCATGTGGCGCAACTCAGTTTACTAAGCAATGGAAATTGGAGCAGTGGAGGTCATAAGTTGAGGACTTGAGTTGGAAACACCAAATATGGGCGGGGGGGGGGAACCCTCCACCTTTCTACTGTGTTTCCCCGAAAAATAAGACCCTGTCTTATATATATATATTTTTGGCCACCAAAAAAGGCACCAGGTCTTATTTTCGGGGAATGTCATCCACTGACTCAACCTCACTTGCACACTATCACCCCTGGCCTCCTTTTCGCTGTCGGGCCTTCCAGAGCTTCTGCGACTGTCAAGGCTTTCTTGAAGGCCTCTGAAGCTATTAACTGGATCGATCCAGAGCCTTGATATCAGCTACGGAGGCTTCAGGAAAGCCTCGCTAGCCTTGCCGGCTGCAGAAGAAATGGGCGTCGGGTTATGCTCAGCCTGGCTACACCTGTCCAAAGGGAAGTAGTAGGGCAGCTCCACACACACCCTATCGCCACCCTAGCTTAATTTTCACCTGTGCACTCTGGAGTGGGTGAGATCTTAATTAGGGCTTATTTTGGGGGTAGGGATTGTATCGGGCTCACGTGTCAAAATCAAGCTAGGACTTACTTTCAGGGTAAGTCGTGCTTTCGGGGAAACGGGGTAACATTTGAACTCCTTTCTCGCTTTCACGCCACACCTGCGGTGCCTTTTCCTGCCTTTAGGTTTCACGGCCGACTTGAGATCCAACACCGGAGGCCAGGCTTTCCCACAGTGCGTGTTCGATCACTGGCAGATCCTCCCCGGGGATCCCTTCGACAGCACCAGCCGCCCTTCTCAAGTGGTCAGCGAGACACGGAAACGCAAAGGGCTGAAAGAGGGCATCCCCGCGCTGGATAACTTCCTGGATAAATTGTAAAGCCGATCGAATGAAATAATAACCGCAATCAGATCTTACAAACAAACAAAAAGAATAAATTTTAAAAATGGCTGTTGTGGGACTCGAACTTTCAACTAGTGTTTTTTTAAAAAAAAAAACAACCAAAAAAGAAAACACGGTGGTTAGATGTGCTTGTGGCTGAGATCGGAGGCTGTTTCCTCCCTTCTTCTTTTTTTTTTTTCTCCTTCCCTCTTTCCAATCACGAGGAAAGGGGTTTCTCACACCTACTTTTTCAGCCTTGATGAAGGGGTGGTTGTGGTTGTCTTTTTTTTCCCCACACAACACGCCAGAAAAACTCACTCAGCCCGTTGTTAATCTTGAGAAAATAACGCTTCCATTTAACGCACCCCGAAACACGGCTCATCTCCATGTCTGTTCTGACATCACGGAGGCAAGTGAAGGAGGAGAAAAATTGGCCAGGTTTTTTTCTTCCTTGGAGAAATTTTGGAAAGGAGGAAGAAGGGGAGGTGTTTTTTTGGAGGTGTGGGAGGCAGATGTGGGAAAAAATCTGTTTTTCTCTCTCGAAAGGTTGGACGAGACGCGGAAGGGATGATCAATAAAAAGTTATTATCTGGGGATTTGAGAGGCTTTCTAACCGGACAGCCTCTTGGCTAATAGGTTATCGTTGTGCAAATCAATGTATTTAGAACCACTGGAATAATAAATATAAGAATGTCTGGATCGGGCTTCCTGTCTGTATTGAAACGTCTCGAGAGCTTGTGTGAGGAGGAAGGAAGTTGGTGGTGGGGAAAACAATACAGATAGCCCTCGACTTAACGACTTGCTTAATGTCCATCATAATCAATCCCACCAAAAATTACTTAGGGCTCTTTACAAAGGCCGGTGACCTTCTTGTAGACACACAACTGCATTCTGGGCTTTGGGGCCCTCCGCAACCAGCCTGCATTTTTGCAGCATCTGTCAGGGTTCCAATGGATGCCCTAATTAATTCACGAGCCTCCCCCAAGTGTCTAAAGAAATCCAATTATTTATTAGGAGCAACATGTCAGGTCTCAGCTCTGCCCCACGTAGTTTACTGTCCACCGATGATCCTGTTTCCGCCCCCTCCTCATCCCAGGCTGTCATAAATCACATTCTCCAATGGAGTATATATTCTCTCGAGCTCTGGCGCAGGGCTTAGAATCCAGTATTGCAGGCCGACTGCCCACTGCCAGGAGTTCGATCCCGACCGGCTCAAGATAGACTCCGCTTTCCGCTTGAGCCTTCCGCTCCTGCTTGAGGTGGAGGCTGGGCTAGAAGATCTCCAAGGCCCCTTCCAGCTCTATTCTGTTCTATTCCATCCTTCCGAGGTCGGTAAAATGAGGACTCAAATTGTTGGGCAAATAGGCTGACATACAAGTCCCTTAGAGAGGGCTGTAAAGTGGTATATAAGTCTTAACTGCTATTGCTATTTTTGCCAAAATGGGCGTTTAGTTCCAGCTTTTGGGCTAAAATTGTCCACAGCAAACAGGTGTTCCCTGTTCAACCACCGTATTGTTATTTTTTAAATAAATTTATTCAACGTTTCATCAGTGAAAAACAAATTTTCACATTCTACAACGTTGCTAAAGCAGTGTACACATTTGCATTTCACTATTAGCGTGTTATGCATCTTATTTCTTCGTCATTTCAAGCATTATATATACATACATACATTTTTTTTTTACTTATTTTGACAAGAAACATTAACAAATGCAAACATAAATAACAAATATAAACCATCTTTCCATTACATACAATGTGTCGGTTGGCATATATCTTTTGTGCATACGTTCTTATTTACATTTATTTACACGTAAACCTTATTGTTTTATGTTACAAAATTATTCAATTCCTTATCCATTCGTACCAGACATCCCTTATTTTATAATATTCTCCTTCCTTGTCATTCAATAACTTCATTTATCCATCCATCTCAGCACATTCATGTACTTCATTATTGTGTCAACCACCATATTCATTTAACTGCCACCAAACTTGTAAAACCAGGTGAGTTGTGATGGCCTGCTTTGCCGTTGTCATGATTTACGACTAATTGGCATTCTGCATTATAAGTCGCAAGTTAAAAGATTATCTGGTAGTCAAAAATAAGCACTGTATGTGTGTGTAATTGGGGGTTCTCACCAGCACTGCTTTTAACACCACAAAATTGTGGCCTCTATAAGTAACCGGTTCAAAAAGCCGTAAATACGGAAGCAATGTTTTGTTCTGACTTAACAACGTGCACCCACTAGAAAAAAAACACAACATGACACATTTCTAAGTTGCTTCCCATTCATGCTTTTAAGACAGTTTAATATCCAGTTGAACATATGTATTTCATGCTCCTTTCAGTTGGGTTCGCCTTCCACTTCTGTTCAAGAAATTCTAGGTTCCTATCTGGGTTGTGTCACGGTAAAAAGCAATGGATTCACACGTCGCATTCAGACACCGTGATTTGATTGCTCTCGGCTTCGGATCACGTTAAAAAGCACACTTGTGTGAAAGCAGTCGATCCTCGTTTAATTTAGCGATCTCAGGTGAGCCTTGCCTTCCTGCAGTACAAAAATAACCAAACAAAACTTGTGACGCGGTTTGGCTCATTAAGGTACCGGTGTCTTTTGCAATAACAACAACAACAAAACACCAGGATTGCACATCAACTCTAAATTTTGCAACGAGATGAACCAAGCCATGTCATTTCGATCCTTCGGTTATTTGATGGAAGTTGAAGTGCCGTCGAGTTGGTGTTGATTTGACAACCTTCCAGATTTCCAAAGATTCCTCCATGGCCATTCAAGTCCATCCACTGCTCCTGTTTCCTTCCTTCCATCTTTCCCTTCTTGCGCCATATCCGTCCTCGGGATGTTGGCGATCCTATTTTTTATCAACAGTCTCACGACAAAGTGCTGTTGAGTTTTGTCCAAACCAGATTTTGAAGCCATGATGATCTTCTGCCTGGACCTTGTTTGCCTTCAATCATTGCCTGGTGGATTAAGTAAAATATGGCCGTATTTTTCCGAGTGTCGCATCACATGTCCGAAATAGTCTTTCGCTTTTTTATGGTTTTGATGATTTCCCTTGGCTTTCCCAGGCAGCTTATCTATCACCTCCTCATTTCTGATTTCCTATCTTTCCCAGTGATAGGGATAGGAATAGAAAAGAATTAGAATTAGAATTAGAATAGAATAGAATTAGAATAGAATAGAATAGAATAGAATAAGAACAGAATAGAATAGAATAGAATAGAATAGAATAGAATAGAATAGAATAGAATAGAATAGAATAGAATGTTGGAATGAATACAGAATAGAATAGAAATGGAATAGAATTAGAATAGAATTGAAATAGAATAGAATAGAGAATAGAATAGAAATAGAATAGAATTAGAATAGAATAGAATGAATAAGGAATAGAATAGAATGTTGGAATGAATACAGAATAGAATAGAAATGAAATAGAATAGAATTGAAATAGAATAGAGAATAGAATAGAATTAGAATAGAATAGAATAGAATGAATAAGGAATAGAACAGAATGAATAAGGAATAGAATAGAATAGAATGGAATAGAATAGAATGAATAAGGAATAGAACAAAACAGAACAGAACAGAACAGAATAGAATAGAATAGAATAGAATAGAATAGAATAGAATAGAATAG